AGTGTTGCTATTACTCTCATTGTCGTTAGGAGTGTTACTATTATTTTTGGTGTCATTAGCAGCGGCATTAATATTTTCCGTGTGAGTATCTCCGTTATTTCTGCTATTACTTATTTCGTCATCGTACTCGTCGTAATATTCATATTCTTCCTCATTATTGCCGAGGTCTTGCGAGTGATTGCGGTGCTGACCGTTCTCTGTCCTTACTCTCCTGGGATGCATTTCAGGTTCAGTTGTGGTATTAATGTATTCTCTTGCGTCGATCTTGTTGTCGATTTTGTCCAACGAAGATACATTATTGGTTCGTATTATCATGCCCAAATCGAATCTGTCGTTGTGTTCGGACGTTGTGGATGTCTTATTACTATATTTATTGGCTATTTCACGTTGTCGAGCGTAAAATCTCTCCATAACCGATCGTCTCTGTGCGTAATAATCGTCGTTGCGTATCGCGAGGTTTCTCTTCGCGTATCTTTCGTTTATTTGATTTTGACTATCGTCCGAGTTCTCCTTCACAATGTAATCCGCGCGACGTCGTACGATAGTCTTCTTCGTTAAGTACGTATCCGTGTATTTCTCAAGGTCCTGATTACGCGAGCGCTCTTTATCCTTTCGGTTGTTGTAACCGGCTTGAATCCGAGCCAGTTGGAACTTTGCATTGTTCTTTTCGAAATCGTTTCTAAAGACACTGTCATCTCGAGATGATTTTTCGTTCAACGCGATCGCGTTTAAGTCGAATTCGCTTCGATACCTGCTTCGTTCGTTTTCGTTCACCGTTCGATCGGCTGTGCCGATAGAGCGACGTTCTCTGTTACGTGGGTTCCAGAACTTTAATGGAACTCGAACGAGCTTCTGATTCTCGAAATTCGATGTTTCCTTTTTGATCTCGGAATCGTCTCGCGCGTTCTCGGTGCTCGTAGGTATACCGAGTTTCGGATCACTCGAAGCCGTCGATGTTTTTATTCTCACGAAGAGTGCCAGCGTCACGAGAACACTGACCAACTGAAATCTTCCTCCCGTTATGATCATGTTTCCGTCGAAGGATGCGACCACGAACGAACTGATCGAGGGAATAAACGAGCACAAGAACGTCGATGCATCTTCGACCTCCGGCTATCTGCCGTTTCTAGGGTGAAAGATAACTAATTATAGAACAGAATTAACGAGATACGATTCTACAGAGGAAGGGATAGTCGCGAATCAACGTTTAAGTATTAATATCTGTTACGTATATTTCGAGTACGCGATGTTTCCATAATCACGATGACGACGTAAAAATTGTATACACTTTATTTCCGTTTATCCTACTATTCTATTATTCCACCATTCTCGGAGGAAGTTTGCAGACTCCCGACATTGTTGAACAATTGAAATTATTTTAAGTTAACCCTTTGTTAACTGAATTTCTTTCAAGCTTCCAAAGAGAAAAAGCTTGTGGTGCCATCCAACAATTAAAAACGAATATCATAGAAGTGGGCTTGAAAGTCACAATAGGTTTCAAAGCGTTTAATTAATACAGTACCAAGAGAAAGTTGACTTGCAAGTCCCGCTAGTAAATAAAGGATTAAACATTTCTCGCGATGGAACGAACGAAGAGGGAAGTAACGGGACACACTACGATCGACGCTGTTTAATTCAAATTAATGCATGTAAAATATAAAGAATGTTATATCGAGTCAACGGTGATGCTATCGTTATCGTTTTTGTCCTCCGTGTCGCTTAGATTTTTCTCTTTCTTTTCGGATACAACTTTCGTGTCCAACTTCTCCACCTTGTCGTCTTTTCCTTCGGTTGATTCATCCTTGGATGTTGATGTTGTCAACGTCGGCTTGGAACCTGGACTCGATTCGGAGGGTTTAAGCGCCGGATAAAACTGCGAAAAAATAATATGTTCACTGTGATCGTCTCATTGCTTTTTTTTTTTTTTTTTTTAAATAAGAATAGATGGATTATGGCTTACCGGGCTCAATGGGAATCGGAAGTCATAAACGGGAGTGCCGTAAAAGAAATTGTATTCGGGCAGTTGAGGATTTTGCGTATGTACCTAGAAGAAGAACGAAAATCAGATGTAAACGAGGAACAAGAAACGAAACGTTTCGCGAACACGTCGTTAAAAGTTCGTTACATCGTTTGATTTTTTGTCTTCCTTTTCGGATTCAACTTTCGTGTCCAACTTTTCCACCTTGTCGTCTTTTCCTTCGGTCGATTCATCCGTGGAGGTTGGCGTTGTCGGGGTCGGCTTGGAACCTGGACTCGATTCGGAGGGTTTAGGTGCCGGATAAAACTGCGAAAAAATAATATTTCTCGCTGTGATCGTCTCATTGCTTTTTATTAAATGAGAATAGATGGATTAGGGCTCACCGGGCTCAATGGGAATCGGAAGTCATAAGTGGGAGTGCCGTAAAAAAAATTGTATTCGGGCAGCTGAGGATTATGTGTATGTACCTAGAAGGAGAACGAAAATCAGATGTAAACGAGGAACAAGAAGAAATACGTTTCGCGAATACGTCGCTACGAGCTCATTACGTTATAAACGTAATACGGGGAGTAGGTGTCCCGATAGTGATGAAGCTGCGATTGCCCGCTTACGGCTGCCGAAGGATACTGGTAACTGCTGAAGTATAATTGATGTGGCCAGGTTGGTTTCGATTCCGTCGACGCGACCAGGATCACAGCGATTGCAAGCAGCGTAACGTAGACCTTAAAATAAAACAAGCAATACGATGAACAATAAGTAAGGAAATAGATACCGATTCATGGGGACTATACTAAAAGTATAGTAGAGAGAACGACGGACGTTTTCTTTGGCCTCGAGAAAAAACTAGTTTATTCGAGATGACGCGATCAACGAAACGGCTGAAATTGAAACGAAAAAATCGATCGTTCGCCGGATCGATCGATGTAATATCCGCCCATATCCAAGAATAAGGAGTCAAACAATAACACGAATCGGATTTCAGGATCGTCGGCTCGATTCTCCGTGCCTTATTTTTCGTTTAGATTCCTACAGAAGCGATGCGCACACTTTTGATGTTGTTTGGCTCGATGCGTAGTCCGTGATTCGCATACAAACGATCGTGAATCTTAAGTAACGCGGAAACAGATTTCATCGAGCCTAGCGTTAACCGTTGTTCGTGTCGCAAAAGTTATTTATAAAAACAATGCGACTGAACGTTGTCAACGGATCTATTTACATATCCAGGTGTACGTGTCCGATAGTTTTCACGCGAAAGTCATCTTCGAATGTCGTGTTAAATTCGAAATATATAGAAGAGATCTCTCCTAGTTTCGAATCGGCTTCGCCAAGCGAACAGCCGATTTTACGGGCGTACATACCTGCATGGTGTGATCACAGCTTCGCGGTAGACTCGGAAACTGTCTGTACTAACCTGAATTTCAGCCCTACCCACGATTTATATATTCCTCTTGGAGAGCAAATCCCCACCCGACCGAATATCATCCGTGATTGTTTTTTTCCTTTTGTTCCTACGCTTAACTTAGCTTCTCTGTCGCTTCCTCTCGATTATCCCGCACGATCAACGGGATACCCGTTCGCGATTCTTTTTCATTCACGATATAAAGCATCCTGCGAAAACTTAGCTAGTCGAACTGGACGCGTTACGATCATTAATGATACTTAACGTCTCGTTACTATTTCTTCGAAGCGGATCTTAAAGTTGACACGATTTTCGGTCTAATTTAACGGCGTGCAGATCCCGACGCGCCACTCTTCAGGGAGTTATTACGATAAGGAAGATCGTCGGCAAACACCTCAGCCGCACCATTATGGAGTCACGCGACGCTCGTAATATGTCCCAAAGTATCATTCGCGATACACGTTTATCTGTCGTATAACGAAATCCTAAAATAGTAAATTTATTTAATTAAAAGGTTCGATTTTATTTTGACTATGTCAGAAAGATAGGAAAATATCGTATAACGAGAGAGATTATTTTTTCTTAACACGGTTAAAGGCACGTTTTATATATTAATTTCAGTAGTAGTAAAATATCGAATGACAGTAAATATTCCACCAGATTCAACAGAGGCCGATACGCGAACCGGTTAATAATGGGAAATCGTTGTTTAGAATGCGAACGAAGGGTGTGTCCTGACATCTCCGACAGCCGAATTTACATTTCTAATGTCCGTCGCTTGTCATCGTTTCGTTCGTTCGATTTTGACCGACGATTACCGAGAATCGAAGGTGCGGTCTAAAATCTCTGGCGCGTTGTCGCATTCGAATTCCGAGTGTTCCATCAAGGAGTTCAAGCGTGTTTTTGTATCGCTTAACGGAGCAATGTCGTTGAGTCAACTCGATGTTGACTTCACGAGGTTGCCGTAGAAGCATTTTGACGTTTCCTACAAAGTTCGCAAGTAACCTCGGTAACGAATCAGTAAGAAAAATTGCGGAGTTGGTAAGAATCTATTCGCTTAATTACGGCCGTTCGATCCTAAAATACCTTTAACGTTGCCGTGACGTCGTTCGCCATGGCCTCCGAAGCGTGGTTTACAAGGTTGGGCGAATGAAAATGCAAAGGGCAACATTCGACGGTGAAACTTGAAGACGCGAATCTGTGTTGGGAATCGAAGGAAGACGAACGATTGGGACAAATGTCTGGTTGACGTTTCTGGGTGCGTATCATCCCTGGGAAAGGTTACGTATCGAGGGTACAGTGAGGTCTCCTTAAGTGCGTTTATCGTAGAGTTCGTATATTTTCCGATGTTTACCGATGAGTTTCGAACGTAGAGGAGGACGGTGAATAAAGAAGTCGAGCACTGTGCTTCGGTGAGACAATAAAAGTCTCAGCGATCGGACTCCTAGATCCCTCAAGGGGTATACCCCTCAGTGGTTTCTGTGCATTCATCGCAGAGAATCTCGTGCGTTTAAGGAGACTTCATCGTAGAGATTTCGAACGTGGACGGATCCGGTTTGAACTGGAGCGCTCTTTCAGGAATCGATAATCGCCGGCTCGTGAGGCATCGACTGTGCTCGTGGAAGTTCGCACGGCTACTAATCAATCCGCGGGAGGTTTCGTGTTTATCAACAAGTGCCGCATACACCTGATTCGCGACACCCTTCCGTGACGGAGCTTGTTCATTCGCGAGCACCACGGTCGTCGGCGCATTCGTGCACCGCGGTCGCGCGACGGTATCTCGCACGAGGACGAGGCCGAGACACTTTGACGATTCCTCGTTTCGTGCATCGCGTCGTATCGTGATAATCCGAACGAACGTGTGTGTTGTTTTTCCGGTTTGCCGAAGGCCTGCCACCACCCTTTGCAATTTCGCCTTCTCCTCTGCGCACGGTTTACCGAATTCCTCCGCGTGCGAATTTATCGAAACCCCTCGGCTCTATTAATAACGGGATCGGTGTCGTTGTACCGTTGTGTATCTTCGACTCAACCACCGGTGGTTTTTCCAAAGATTCCCCAACTGGACACGGTGAACGTCGATCCAACGAGAATTTCTGCTCGGAATCGCCTCGAGTTTCCTCCCTTATCGCATCCGGAAACGCAGGGTTCCACGTTTTGTTCTCGCTACCCTCTCGCTCTCGACCCAGCTAACCCGAGTATATTTCGATTTCTATTGACTTCGTCGTTGCCACCTCCACGAGGTTGCATCTTCGCAAAATTTTAAACGGTGTTCGGTGTTTTCGGTGATTTCGTCACTTCGTTTTATTTCAGGTATCTCAAGGCTCTCGTCGCCGATCACGTTTTGGAAATCTCCGGGTGTTGTTGTTACGTACGCTATAAAATTTCGACTGCCAAGCGAAAGTCATCCGTTCTTCGTTATTCAACGTCCAACGTTCTCGGGAAACTAACGAGTGTTTTTGGTGGCGAGCGACGGAATGTTGTAAACCGCTTCCTATCTTTTGGCAAGCAGGTTTCGGTTCCATCATCTCTCGTCTCGTTTAACAAACAACTTTTTCACGCGACACGCGCGACCCGAGATCCGTCGGTTTTGAAATAGATCCCTCTTCTCGACGATTTATGATCTCCTATTAGAAATCGAGTCTCGCCTCGAAATTGTGCACGTTTCCCTTCGAGGTTCGATAGAATCTTCGTCCGGTGCGGTGGATTTTAACCGCGATCTGTTATTCGTTCGAGAATTTCTTTCTTTCTTTCTTTTTTTTTTTTTTTTTATTTTTTTGTAATGCGTCGTTTAATCGTAGAAGGACGAGACCGAGCGAGGGGTAGCATGCAAAATATGAGAAAAGGGGCGCGGTTTTCGGAAAGCGGCCGTCACTATAAATAGAGGCGCCTCGTGCGTGAGTGCTATGCTTTTAAACATAGTTTTGGCAGCGCGAAACGTCAAACCGCCTCGGAGTGGCAAAGCGCGTGGACCGTTCCGCGAATTTCACGGAAAAGTTTGACCGAAAATCCTCGCTGGTCTCGTTGGTGATCCGAATCTGAATCGTGCGAGAAGTTGGACCATCGTCAACCATACGATGTGACGTCGCGATCCGTCGTAAGATCGTTCGGTTTCGTTTCTCGTCGATCGCAAAAGGTTTGTCGACAACGCAGCGTCTAGAATGGCGCGCTGAAGTTTCCCTGTAAGATCGTACGAAAAAAAAATCTCGAGCGAAGGAAGCGTATCGATGCTTTTCTTTCTCTTCGAACCGTGTTTGGTCGACGAAGACACGCCAGGGTCGATTTAACGCGCGTTCCAAATTAACGCGACGGAAACTCGTTCTCCTTTCGAGTCTCGGCCATTCTCTCGAACTTTTTCCGTTCTCTTTTGTCTCGCCGCGCGAAAAGGACAGTGTTTGCGAGAAAGACGAGGGGAAAACATGAAAAGTACGTTGGAGAAGTGCGACAAGGAAAACCAGCGACCGATGGAGGCGAGTCAGTTGGCAGACGACGAAAACGCGCAGGATGCCCAGGACGAAGAGTAAAAATCCCGCCACTAGCATAAAGACTCGTCCCCGCGTTTCATGCGTGTGCTCGTCGCTCTGCATCAGGTTTCCGGTCCTCGTTCCGAACGCACATTTAGAGCCGTCTGCACGCTTCTTCTGTTCGCAAGTTGCATCGTTGTTTGGTTCGACGTGGACGATTCGAATTTGGAAGCATTCTTTCTCGAAAGGATAAATTTCACGAAAGAAGATCTTGACGGTCTCAAAGTCCAAGTAAATCGAAACCAAGGTTTCGAGGATTGCTTTTTTTTTTTATCAATAAACCTTTCGAGAAACAATCCTCGAGGATAACGTTTCGTTAACGTATTTATTAGTTACGTTTGCCCGGGTCATAAAGATAATTGCAAAATTTGCGTTGGCACAAATACGATACGATATTCCGGCCAAAATATACTGTCGCGCTACCAGAAACGTAAATTGTCAAACAGTGCACCGATAGTAACGATATTAGCAGCCAATAAATTTTCGCTATTTTATTACGCTCTACAATGTGGTTCCCGAACGTGGACGCGAATCGCAATTGAAAAAATTCGGGTAATCACTTTCACAGCAATGGAATCGACTACCTGCATTTTTGTTGACAGGCTTTGTTGTTTCAGCGCTTAGCAAAGATATCGGCGATCGAAACGAGTAAAAGCTTCGCAGGCTCTACGATATCTTTACCATTATCTGTTATTATCCGTGACTCAAATTTATAATACGACGGAGGGATTGCGACACGGATCCAATTAAATCGCGGAGCGCTAGATGTCGAAGATATCGTGGAATCTCTGCGAAGAAGAGCAATCGATCGCTGTCGCTATTTATTAATCGCCATAACGAACGGGACGTTCGGCGAAACGTTCGCGCCGTTTATTTTCGAGCGTTGCTTGTTATATTCGGTCGTGCTAATTAACCTTGACGGGCGGCGCGATGCGCTCTCCAACGTTCGATTTTCATTTTCGCGACATTGGCTAACGGTGTCCAAGTTCACCGCGAAAAGTGATTAACGCGCGTTAACGTTCGCATTGGCGGGAGGCCGAAGACCAGTCGATCGAATTTCCTTGGTCGTTCACGCCGGCGCTGCTATTTCTGTTTCACGCTATGGGGCGGCGCGGTGGTACGCGTCGTCTGACAGACACGTGAACGCGAGCCAATGGTGGTACACGCCGCCCGATGGGACATACAGTCGGTATAAGAAGTATTCGTACAGGAACCGATTTAAAATGAACCTAATAAGAAAAAAAATAAGAGGTCAACGTTACAAATATTTAGGAATGTTGGTTAAGTATTTCTTCCCCTAAAATTTATTAATAAAATAAATATATGAAGTTTTATTTTGAATTAGTTCCTGCACGAATACTCGTTACACTGACCGTATAAGTGTGAGCCACCGGTGGTACACGTCGGGGTGAACGTGTTAAAGAAAGGGAATTGTGACGCTTGTGTTCTGTATCGCAGATACGAAGGGTTTCGTAGGCGACGAAATAGGACGAGCTAGCCGCAGTTCTTTGGTTAAGTAGAAAAATCGACAATGGGTTTGGATTTTTACTCGTTTATCCCGCATCGAATTTCGTCAGTCCTCTTAATCGTCTCGTAAATCATTCGTCCCGTATAAAGATCAAATTTTAATTGTACGTTCGTAACACTCGATTTATGACTAGAGTAAAATACCAGACAAAGACTTTAATCGAGTTTGTAATTCATTCCCGATAATCTTTGTTTCATTGAGATATCCTAAAAATTTAATTTTTCGTGAATATTTATTACGTCGTAAAGAACCTCGACAGCCTTTACGATCCCTGACTCGACGTTAACAGGATCGATGCACGTTCAAGCTGTAATTACCACAAGTGCCCATTCGAAGGGATTCCCTTTTTGTTGTTTTAAAGAAATATTTGTTCTTTGATTAATGTCGATCGATTCGTTGCGCGCTAGAGGATTGCTCCTCTCGACGATGAATTTTTGTTAGCCCAACGGTTAGTGCATCCTTTTGTTGTAATGTTCTCTTTTTCCGTAGGCTTTCGATAATCTCAAGTCGCCTGGTTTTCGTTAGAACGCAAGGACACGCTTGGCGCTTGTTTGCAACCCTTAACAATCCTTCACTCGTACCGCCTTATCGTAACCGATAATTGAGCTTTCATTGTTTGGTTTGCGGTTTAGTGTGATGTCACCGAGCAATAAAAATGCAGACGAGGCTATAAACGATGCGTTGTTGGAGAAACTCAGAGGTTGCGCGTCCAAGCCGCAGGAGGCCGGCGATACGTACAGGAACATCGCTGCCAAGATTCATGCCCGCGTTACATCCTCAGGTAACAGCTTTATGCGTCTATTTTACAAGTTACATCTATCTCTAAATTTTCTCTAATTTTTCTCTAATTAATAATCTCTAATTTTCGTGTCACCTGTACCAGACCTACATTTCTAAGCGTCGCATTTCGAAGATTCTTGATCGCACTTCTAATCGTTATTCCATCTAAAGCCATAAACGATCACCGGGTCTCGAATGCGGTAGCGAAATTATACGCGAGTCGAAACAGATTGGACACATTGGGACGAGCTCGTGCAGTTAAATTGCTATTTTTATCGCGAACGTTGCCTTCCATTTCATCGGTCTAATCACCAGAAACTTGCCCAATTTAATAGTCGTACCGTATCGCGGTACCGAATACTCGACACGTTTTCGTTCCGCGATTACCAACGTTTTGCAATTCTTTTTCATGTCGCAACGCGACCAGGCCAATTTACGTTTGCACGAACTCTCGTTCGGCGAAAACGTCGGACACTCGAGTCAAAAGACCGAAACAGGTTCGCGGACGTATCACGTAAAAAGGCTAGGACGCACGAACGACGTTTATTGTCTTCCCTACTAGACAGAAAATAGCGAAATTTAAATTTAGGTCGCTTTCCAATAGAACTCGCTCTCGGCGCTCTTGCGAAACTCATTTCACTTAGCTTTGTTTCGGATTAAAAGAAGACGACGCACGTTGAAACGTTCGAGCAGTTCCGCAGGAGCATTTACGATCAACGTGTACCGTTTAAAGCGTTCACGCCGGGGCTGCTATTCGTGTTTCTCGCCATATGGCCGCGCGGTGGTAAACGCCATCTGATAGACACGTGATGGGACGTATTAGTGCGAGCCACCGGTGGTACACGCCGCGGCTCAAATTGATTTATACTAATACAACTTAAGTATCGTAATACAGGGAATAACTTCCTAAAATTTCGTTAAAATATTTTCAAGAGAACCAAAGTTACAGGTTTTTGATCGTCGAGAACCGTTTTGTCCCACTGTGCGCCGGTGTGAACGTGTTAATCGTAGCTGTGCACACGGGAACATTATTTTTCACGTATAATCGAAATAGACACGGTTTTATTTACGCGAGTCTCGAATGCACACGTTCGACATCTTGCTCGTGATTAGGATTAATAACGTCTCGACGCGTGGACGACGGTTTATCACGGGGGTGGTAGACGTTGGCGAACAGGTGTGCGAGCGGCGGATCGCGCTAGGCGTCATTCGTTATTTTCGAAAAGCCGGCTATCCCGTCGGTCGGTTACATAAGGACTTTTGGTACCTCTGATAGATCGTTTGGAAACCGTCCAAGGGACCACGAAGCCGAACAATACCAGGGGTTCGATCGTCCCGATGAATTGCGGTCGTGCCAATTTGATAAGGACTTTTCGTCCCGTTAGTCGATCTTTCCGCATACGCCAAAGTTCCAAGTGTCGTACCTCTGACTCATCGTTTCTCACGTGATTCGATACTTCGATCGAGAGAGGCCTTTGTGTCGCGATAAATATGCTGGTTGCCGAGCGAGAACACCGTTACAAGAAGAATTTTAAACCGTTTACATCGCGGCCCGTTCGACGTCCCTGGCCCGCCGGCTCGCCACGACTCTATTCAGGGTTGAAAGCGGTTTATTGCTTTGCGCTTAATAAAGTTTGGATCCCCATCTGGGTGCCACGTGCGTTCACGAGCGACCACGGCCAGGTTTTTCGGAAAAATATTCGTGTTCGCACACCGCCATACCTGTCATTGTCAATTGCAGCTCGACCACCCGCGTAGCGCTGGTCCCTCGGGCAATGTTCTCGCTATTTAGCGAACTTCTCGTTCTTTTTTTACGATCTTTCCCTTCTCTCACGTGTTCAATTTATATTTACAGTAATGTCTTCATAGATGCACAAGCTCGGGATTGTGCGGCGCAAGCTCCTTGTGCGGTTACCATAGAGTTCGTGTATTCTCTGATTGGTTTGAACCGTGGAAATTTTGCGCTTTATAACAGAACCACTAGACGTTTCTTTAGACAATTTATACGCGTTGTCGTATCGTGGTTGAAGTATATCAGTGCTCGAGAAAATAGAGCGTCTCTTAAATGACCGAGTATTTCGAGAAGCGTTCTGCGGTGGCAACCGATAGCTCTGCTCGGCCAGTCTTTTGGCATGAAATATCGATGTCCAGTTTTTGCGTGGATAGTGTTCATGGCATTGGGAATGATTGGCCTTGTGACAAGTCTGAAACGAGAACCGTGCATTTCGCCAATTCGCGGTACGCTTGGTATTCGCATGGAAGGCATTGTTACTCATCGCACCTGTTCGTCCCATTATTTATCACGACAGAGACGTGAAAATGTTTGCCAACGGGAAAGTACATTGCTTCGGTGAACATTTACATCGTGTTTCAGAGGATTTTTACCGCGGTTGTACGAATCCTCTCTCAACCGAACAGTTTGTTATCACTTTTCGATCTGCTACTGAAATAAAAAATGTATGTTTCAGATCGACGGATACGGGAGCGCACGTTGGAAAAACTATGGCGCAAGAATTCCGGAGCGATGGAAATATTCATCGCGACGCTGGAGGTGGATTGTCAAAAATTCAACCTAAATAGGAATTTACTTTACTCTGCAAATATTATAATACGAACTTTACCTTCGATATATTTTTATATTATCGCATACGACCGCGTCGGATAGCTACATGACGATCCACGTTGTTTGCACGGAATGGCGTGGTTAGGTCGCATCAACACGCGGTGACTCCGCTGTCTATCTTGTCGACAGTGGAAATCCAGAAATCCGTTTGTTCCATTTTCTGATAAGTGCTGCACGCACGCAGACCGTAGTAATTATCCTCGTGGCATTTGCGCGCACCTACTACATCCCTCGAGTACATTCAATCGCCGCGCTTCGACTCGCTTTCCATCCTGGTTTCTAAAAATTTGTTTGTTACAGAACTGCAAGGATCACGTGATCAACTATAGCGTCGCTTGCATAATCCACGAGTGCATATCGCCCCGTTTTACCAGGGGAAAGTCTAAAGGGAACAAGAACAAGAGTGCCACAAGTAACAGAAATTTCTAACTTATCGTTCGTGTCGATGTTCGAGGAGCGAATGATTCGCGATCGATGGACTTGACGATTCGTTATCGTTTGCAGAGTCTAGCAGCCGGACGACGGTGATGCAGCTGATCAATTTAGGTATCACGCAAGTTCTACTTAAACTTTTAATTAACCTGCAACATGCGGACACTATTTCGAGCGAAGTCCTCACGCAGGAAGTGCTGTGGATTTTGGGCCAAGTAGGACGTCACTTTAATTTCGTTTATCCAAGTCCTCGAGTGCTCGTTACGATCTCCATTCAACGAAAATTACAGATTGCCCAGAGGGACCAGAAGTTCGCTTCGAAGATGAAACTGCTTAACGCCGTAAAAGTGTTCCACATGCTTCTGAAACAGCATTACAACAACAGCAAGATGTTATTGTCCCTGTTGCTCATCATGAAGTGTCTCGCCAGAAACTGTAAGTAAATTCTTACAAAGTATACTACTACGTACTTCGTAACGTTTACTTAACCGACGTTCTTTTCTATCTAGCGTTCACCCTTCAGGCGCTAGTGAAGGACGGGATCGCCAGCACGTTGGAAAAAACGTTTCTTTCCATGAGCTACACGCCTCATCTGAAACTCAGATTTCTGTTAGAGTGCTTTAAATATTTAACGACGAGCAGTACGTATACCATTTACCATTTCTTTTTTTTTTTTTTTTAATAGCGACGGTAACTGGTTACAATAGACCGTCGCGAAATTCACTCGGTTCGATACTCGATAGAATTGTGCTGCACGAAGTTCGTGAAGGTGGGGATGGTTTACCTTCTGATGAGGATCTTCGAGAGATGGGAAAGATTCGACGGGCAGATGAGACTGAAAATCTGTAACTACGCTCTGATTACTTTGCAACATCTCTGCATCATAAGTGAGTGCATCGAAGAGAATCTTGGACACGTTGACTGCCAGACGAATATTCTTGAAAATTTCTGTCAAGTTTGAATATTATTTAACTACATACATCGATACAGTGGTATTGTCTCGAAATAAGCATCTCGATCGGGACCGGCGAGAGAGGCATGCCATTCTGCTTGACTTTGTCCCGAGCGTGACGAACTCGTAGACAATACAAGGTGTTCGGTGTAGCGGTCAACTATGAAGTGATCGCTCGAGCATGAGTGTTGTGCTTTGGAGAATGATACAAGACAACATGCTTTTTCATTTTAGTACTAGTAAAGCCGAACGAACGGAAGGTACACGTACGACTAATAATAGTATTTCGGAGAATACACAGGCCAGAGAAAGAGAAAACAGTAAACACTAATGCTCTTCCACTAATCTGTTCGGTCGGCCGTGAAAGATTTATAGCTTCTCGCTTTCACGGGCCTCTCGGACTTTGAATAAAAACGTGGGGATAGCGACTTGCTTATTTCGAGACAGGAAGCAGTTGCTTGTTTCGAGACAATACCGTGTTCATGAATTTCATTTGAATTCATCTCCTTTGATGTCTAACTCTCAGAATTGATCTTTTTAGTTCTTGGCGATCAACGGGTTAAACGTATATATTTTCTCGTGACTCCGATAAATATGAAATTCGGGTGAAATTGAAGTGTACCGTTCGTTTATACTTGCGTCACCTTCTATGTCCTTTATATTTCACTCGTTGTCTTGTGCGAGTTGCCATTACACGCGTCCTTTTGTTCGTTTCAGAAGCTGGAAGAAAGGCTATCAAAGCGAACAATGGCCTGCAGGTACTGTACCGGTTCTGCAGCAACTGTCCGGAGGATAAAGCTTACGATTGTCTCTTGTCGCGTATATGCGGGATAATCAATCAATGTCTGGAGAAGAAGGAGTTGCCGGTACCCGAAATGTCGCCGGCAAGGTGAACGAAACTTTCAAGGTCAAAATGATTCGGCTCTTTCAGCAACGGTTTATCGACGATCTGGGCTGACAACGCCGCGTCTGAATAGCATTCAGAGAACGATAGCGCGACAAATTCTTTTTGATCCTACCTCCGCGAAGTCTCAGCGTAAGAGGAACGCGCTTTAGTTCTTCGCGGAGTTACAGTGACTCCCATATATATTCGGACACCGGTGTATGGTTAGCGTTATGGCTTAATATCGTAGTTATTAAAAAAGGAATCGTCCTCGTTACTTTTTCCAATAATAAATCGTTTATTAACGTTATTAAAGATACATACATTAATCCGGAAAATTTACATAAATTACATAATAACAATAAACAAACGAAAGAATACCGCATTTTCGGGTCAGAACAATATTCGGACACTACGAGGAATAACATTTATTAATTAAAATTAAACGTTATATGTTCCACATTCGGCACATTAGAAATTATTTTGTTTAAATATTCTGTCGAAATGGATGCCCATTCTTCTTGAAGCCTAATTTTAAGTTCTTCTTTGGAACGAATGGGTGCCTTGCGAATCCGTTGGTTCAACTTATCCCATAAGTTTTCTATAGGGTTAAGGTCTGGTGATTGTGGAGGCGGACGAAGGACTTTGGGGCAATTATACAATAAAAATTGTTAGACGATGCGCGACTTATGTTTAGAATCATTATCCTGGTAAAATTACAAATCTTCAGCAATTCCCATTTTTTCTGCAATTTGTTTTAAATTTTGCTTTAAAAATGCTTTTTAAAATATTCAAATAAGCATCTCCTTAACCACGATGCCATCGACAAAGACTAAATTGCCGACGTCGGAAGTCGAGATCCATCCCCACACCATTAAAATGCCTCCTCCGTGTTTTTATCGTGCCCGAAAATGTGATATTCTTTCGTTTGTTTATCGCTATTATGTAATTTATGTAAATTTTTGGATCAACGTATACATCTTTAATAACATTAACAAATGACTCATTATTGGAAAAGGTAACGAAGACAATTGCTTTTTTAATAACTACGATATTAAGTCATAAAGCTAACCACACACTAGCGTCCGGATATTTCTGGGAGTCACCGTAGGTATTCTTAAACGTTCTGCGCGTCGAGAACCGAATCTAGAGAAGAAAGTAAATCATGCGTCGAGTAAATAAACATAATCGTCGATACTTGTAGATTCGTGTTACCGGAGGCGAACGTCAGGCCGAACAGCGCTGAAAGCGGTAGCGACATCGACAGCCAGGTGCGTATTTTTGTCGAACGGAATGATGTCACGCGTTGAACGTAACGTTTCGATACGCTCCGTACCCGTAAACCAGTGCTCGGCAAGATTTGCACTTTTCGGCCATTTTTCGATAAACAACCCGCACAGCCCGATCGCAGCCAATGAGCTGCCTGGAGACTCAGAACCGTGCCACTGTCACCGGTACCTGCTCAACATATTTTTGATAGCTTTCCACGTCACCCAGGGGGTACTATCGACTTATATCAACGCGTATTTAACGACATTTTTACTGGCAATACGAAATCGATTTTTCAGTTTTTCTTCATGTGCTAGGAACCTTTCAGTCCTCGTGTATAATGGTACATCACCGGCATGAACGATCTAACTTTAAGAAAACTTTTCAGTTTCAGTTATCGGATGCTTCTAACAGGTGTTATACTGCACACCAACAATCCGGAAGTGTTAGGTTTGCCCAAAAGTTTCTTTCGTAATTTGCACTCAATTATTTTGTGCGGCAGTGTTTATATAAATAGACAATCTAATTTCTTAGATGTTGTAACAGTAATCGAGCGAAATGAATCGTACACAATTCAATAACGTAACATTAGACATAAAATATCGCGTATGTATTAATTATCAATAAAACGAAAGAAACTTTTCAGACAACCTAATACTTGGCAATAATAACATTTTTCTTCTTCTATTTCCTGGATGTTTCTTTATATCCCAAGACAGATTATTCGATAATTATTAATACTTTAAAAAAAAAAAAAAAAAAAAAAAAAATCATGAAAATCACCTACTTTCAACGCTGTCACTCTGGAAACCCCCGTTAGGAATATGTTCGCAAGGTCCCGGCGAAGTGACACGGTCCTGAGCCTCGAACGGCTCCTAGGCTGCGCGCGAAACGACGCCACAAGTGGGGAGAAACCATTCGAGTTCGTAAACCGTTCGAGACGCGAGGATTTCTCGTATCGTAACCGAAATTTCGTGCTCGTAAGAAAAATTGTCTCGTTCGCATGAAATGTTACTACGCAGGCGAACAGCGTGGCCTCGCTGGGAAGACTGTACAGCGACCTCGACTCCGGCGACGACGAGGAAAGTCAGAATTCGAGATCGAACGACACGCCTATGCACGCAGCCGACGAAGTGGACGAAAGTAAATTCTTCGCGGGTGTCTTCACGTCGCAGAGATCCGAGGAAGATCTCAACGAGTATGACAACAATTTCTTACGATAGCGTTAATATTTTCCCGTGGTAAATCTTCTTTTTATTCTCTTCGATTATTCTCGTTGGTTAGGTACAACGTGTTCTTCGAGGAACTGGGTAACCTGCAATCTCAGGTTTACCTAGCTAGGTCCTCGACGGAACAGTCGTTGGTCGATCTAGTGGACTCTGTCGAGGAGCTCGCGAACGGTGCGACGAAAGACGATCCGGAAAATGATCGAACGGAGAAGGATAGCAGACCGATCAAAGTATTCGACAACATGCCATCGAACATGACGGATCAGCAGGCGTACTGCGTGGTGGCGAGCAGAGTGAAAAGTGTCATCAGTTTCGTGAAGGTCGCGTACCCGGATCTGGTCGGCGGCGATGGTCTCGGTAAGGAAGAACCGTTGCACAACAAAGACAGGTGGGTCTGTCGATCGAAGCTTCTCACGTGCGTTGAACGGGGCCTCCGCGGCGGCACGCTGATGCAAGAGGTGGTCTACGATCTCGATGCTGTAGCCTCCAACGATGTCGCCGCGGACGGTCAAGTTTCGAGCGACAAGACTTTGTGCAACTGGGACGAGAACAGGATAGGGAAGCGTTGCGGCGACGCCAAGTACTTGCACTTCGAGTCTAGATTCGAGAGCGGTAACTTGAGGAAAGTCATTCAGGTAAAATTCTAGCGGCGTTTGAGACTTTACGAATCGAAAATTGAATTCTTTCCTGTCCGTTTCCTAACAGATAGGCCCGAGAGAGTACGATCTGATCCTGACGCCGGACGTGAACAGCGGCTCCAGGCACCAGTGGTTCTATTTCGAGGTGTCGAACATGGAGGCGAATCTTGCGTACACGTTCAACATCATCAACTGCGAGAAAGCGAACTCGCAGTTCAACTTTGGGATGAAGCCGATTCTCTTCAGCGTGACCGAGGCCCAGCTAGGTAGACCAGGCTGGGTCAGAACCGGCGCCGACATCTGCTACTACCGCAACTGTTACCAGCGACCAACGAAAGGGAAGAACTACTTTACGACATCGTTCACGGTGATATTCCCTCACGCTTACGACGTTTGTTACCTAGCGTATCATTTCCCCTACACGTACAGCAAGTTGATGAGCAACATATGGAAATGGACCAAGAGGGTTCCACCGAACGCTTACTTTCGCGCAGATAATCTGTGCGAGACGTTGAACGGAAACGAGAACCCTCTGTTGACTATCACTTCTTTGGATTCGAAGAGTAATCCTATACAGGTGAGTTTAATTGCAGCAAGTTAAATACCGGGTGTCCTATTTAATTAGGTGTTATCTTAAGGGAAAGGTATAGGTATACAGTAAGGTCGATCGCACACGGACGCAATTGATCAGTTTCGAACCACTTTGAAACTAGTTGCATGCGACCGTGGATCTAGGTAAAACAAAGATAGTAGAGTAGGTCAAACAAAGAGCGCAAACGGTTTGCAACAGTAATTTCAAATCGGTTGCGCCCCTGTGCATTCGGTCTAATAGTTTGAAACACCAAAGGACCTGTGTCAGTTTGTTGTTTTTTTTTTTTTTTTCTAATCTCGTGTCTTCGAGAGTTTGTACAATCTCAACTTAAATGGGACACCCTGTATATTTACACGCGCCACGTTGGAATTTGGATCGCGTTAACATTTATCTGTTTTCCAGAATCGCAAGGTAATATTTCTGACGTCGAGGGTCCATCCAGGCGAGAGCAATGCCTCTTGGGTGATGCACGGAACCCTCGAAGCACTGCTGAGCAACAATCCCTGCGCGTCGAACTTACGCGACGACTATGTGTTCAAAATCGTCCCCATGCTGAACATCGAGGGAGTGGTGAACGGATGGTAAGTAGCGACACGTACGTCATCAGTTCGCCACTTTATGGGATCGACGACACCCGAAGGACGAGAGAAATTATTTCTGCGTCTTGAGAGTGTATTCGTACCTTTATTAATATTCAATTACACAAGTTACACATTCGCGGTGTGTTTACGCAACGGATATTTAAAGATCGATGCGACGATGACTTAATCGTAGCGATTAGAGAACTGTTTCGCGATACCGAACTACACGCGTGCCGATTGTCGTACCTCTGGATGACAGAAACGTTACGATCCATGCTTCGTTAATCGATAACATATAGCTCGTTTGGCATTCTTCGAGCTCCAATTCTTGGACCTTGTTTAAATATTGACAGAAGTTCGATCGAGAGCGTTCGGTCGAATCGTTGCACGATACTGTTCAATACTCGGATCAAAATCATCGAGAACCGGGGAGAGAGTCGATCGACTGTGAAACGTTTCGTCTTGCAGATGTACGAATAACGTTAACTAAGATGATTTACTCCGATACCTATGAAGTGGCGCTGACGGACTCCCCAACCCTACACCAATAATGATTCCAGTTAGCCTTACCAAACGATAATAGTTCGCTGTACGTTTCTTCCTGTTTCTACCTTAATGCCTGAGATCCCACGCGGACCAGTTCTCACGTTCGTGTTATTATCTACGAGCTACGAGTGAATAGCTAATAGTTAACGATACGTATACCGATAGAAGGCGACCGAAAAATAGAAAAAAATTGATCGCGACGCGGATACGCAACGTGTCCGCCAGTGCCACATGTGTGCGATTAAGGTCGATCGAATTTAATGGTCGAGTAAATGCCCTTGCGAGAACGATGTTCGACTATCGTCGAATGATCGTCGGCAGGAGGAGACCCTCTACAAATTTACAATTTCTCTCTCTCTCTCTCTCTCTCTTTCTATCTTTTGCTCTCTCGCGAGTAACCTTTTGGTCTTTTAGGATATCTTCGAATTTAATTCAAAACGTGACGACTCCCACTATCGTTTTCGAATGATCTCCAATGGCCTCGGGATCTCGTTCTCCTGCCGACCGAAAAGCTCAACGGTCGAACACGGGGGAAAAAATCCAACGAGCACTACCGATAAATTCCTCGGATCAGAACGAACGATGAGCGATGATTGACGCGAACGACACCAGCGCTACGCTGGCGGTGGCGTCCCTCGCGCGATGTGTCACGATATACACGCGATAACGTACTAATACATATCTAGTTCTTCGGGAATCTCTCTTACTTCACTTATCAACGAATAACGCGACGCTGTCTAAAGGGTTTTGAAGCGTTACTTGGACGGAGGATCTAATACTTTGCCGTTGGTGCGTACTTTAATGTTGTACCTGTAGGCCGGTTCCGCCTCTGGCAGGATCGTGCTACTGTCGTCATCCTGATCCTTCATCATCGACGACTCGGCCGCCTCCGGTTGGTCGTTCGCGTAATAGTCCTGGATGCTGTCGTACGGCCCGACCGTGTGAGCATCTTCCAACCCGTTGTTAGGGGACTCGGTCTCGGACTGGGTCTCGAAGTAATCGGCCGATTCTCGATGCTCGACTTTCATGTCGGAGGACGATCGAAGGGACGATCGATGGATCTCCCGGGTTTTCAAACCTTCGAACACGTTGTCGCTCCTAGCTTGAGGTGCCTGAGGGCTGTCGGTGAAAAGGCTCGTGATGTCCGGGAGATGATCGGGCCTGGCTTTGTCCAGTTCAGCGTTCGTGGGCTCCTCGTGGTCCTCGGTGACGACGGGCGAGGACGTCGACGGCGTTATCGGTTGCTGCTGTCGCTTGTCAGATGCGGGAACGGCCGTGGTGATCAGCCTGCCGACGACCGGGTCTTCAGGTAATTTTTCATCGACGGAACTTTCCTCTTCCGGTGTTGCGTTCTCGTCGATGTCGCTGTTGTCCTGTGTCTCGTCGTTCTTGTTGGCGTTGGTTTCCTCGTGGTCGTTGACCTGGTCGTCGCTGGCTGGCGCCAAGGTGGTTGTTATGTAGGGTCTGCGATTTCTGTAAATTAGCGGCTGGGCTTAGGGGAGTTTGTCGCTGCCTTGCCGGAGCCATAGATCTCCAAACGAGAAGGAGCAGATTTCCCTCGTTTGTAACAGCGCTGTCCAAAGTAAGTTTCGGAATTTGCCGGTAACGTTAATTGATGTTACGTTAAATGCGTACGTCTCACGCCTCACTTATGGACAGCACTTGTTTGTACTTGAAAATAGTTTTTTTTTTTTAGGTAGAACTGATCTTTAACTTATCAGGAATAAAACGTCCCATACACGATATGATCTGTCGTACGACGCCGTCTTTTGCCATTAGGAATTGGAAACACCGATCGCCGCAATTTTTATCAAAACTTTACCGAAGCAACTTCAATCGATTCCTGATATTTTTGCGATAAAATTGATATCAAAGACTACATAATCGCGGTAATATCTTGCGTCAAATATGAAAGTTTGCATCGTGAAACGTCTCGTCGTACGACAGATTTGTGGCATGCCCAACTTCTGAGGGATACGACGGCACGCGCCACAAACAATGCAACTCCCGTTCAAACGGTCGATGGGACTCGTCTAAGTCGTTGGTCATACGACAGATCGTATCGTATATGGGACGTTTAAGTTAGAAAAGAAACGAGTGATCGTAAAGTGTCGTGTGGTCGTGGTGTGTTAATGGCGTTAATCGTGGTGTGATATTATATTTAAAGCATTACTAGCGAAGAAAAGTATGAAACCATTACCTGTATAGTTCGATATTAGTGCGATGTAACTACATGTTTGACAAAATCAAACTGTATTCTATAGAACGGTAGCGTTCGCACTTTCTTAAACGTTTGCGTGTAATGTGCGGTGTGACTGTTGTCGTTTGCGAGAAGCGAGAGAAGGCGCAATCGATTACAAGCTGCGTTGCATTATTGCATTTCATTTTCGTCGTATCGTATTAATATCACCGATAGCAAGCGAGTACGTTCGCACGACACCAACGGATATCGTGCTGTTTCCCAAGTACCAATCTACTTTACTTTCTTATTCAGTCTATATTATTTCGATAAAGGGCTATCATCTGCACGGAAAAAAAAACATTCGTTCGACTACCAGACAAGATTGGGATTTTAATTTGCACGCGAACTCTTCGCGCGTAAATTATCCCTTCGAGTGCTATGGACGCATGTACGCGTCCATAGAAAGCAATCCTCTTTGCATATCTTATCGGTTTCTATCATGTAACATTTTCTTGCCCGTGCCCCATCTACATTCACCTTAGAGGAACACGTTGAAATCCTTCGATAGTCCTATCTGTTTATCTCTCTCTCTCTCTCTCTCTTTCTTTCTCTCTTTCTCTCTCTTGGCAGTTTCGTGTATTTTTGTGACAAGTATTATCTCACCTCTTACCCCTGAGTCGCAGAGACTGGAATGCTGCCGTAGTTGTAGTAGTAGCATCTTGTTTGCTCGCAGATGAAGTCCTTAACCAGAGTGCAGTCCTGCGCTTCCCAGGCTAACGTGGGCGCCACCATTGCCACGCATCCGTCGGCGCTGCCGCTGTCGCCGCTGTAACGAGAAAAGCGTCGAATTTAGAATTTAACACGTTCACGTCGGCGCGGTGGTACACGCCGCCCGATGGGACGTAGAAGTTGTGAGCCACCGGTGGCGCACGTCGCCGTGAACGTGTTAAATCAATTCGGTCCGAAGTCGTTTATCGATTCGATGCACGCGCTTCCGGATAGAGGCGCGAACCGTGGAAGGGACCTCGACAATTATCGTTCGTGATAACGAATCGTTGTCCGAGCCATTGTCTTCGTGTACACGATGCAGACGCAATCGAGTTTACTTTTGTCCGTGGCGCTTGTCTTTCTCGTTCAACTTCCGGTCCTGGCGAGACCGTTGACCCCTCGGTTCCTATCGCGTGACTCACAGGTAGATTCGGAGGTAGCGTTTCGAAGGTTACAAGATTTTCTTAGACAGCAAGGGTTGATGTTCGATTTTCTCTTCCGAGAAGAGAAAGTTTTCATTTATAAAAACCGTCTCTGCGCGTGTCGAGGTTTCTTTACGCTACACAAGTCGAGAGGGTGCGCAGCTGTGTCCCATCTTGACTTGTTTAAACAAAGTATAGGACCGACAAGGTTTCCGAGTACGTGACGAATTCTTCGTCACTGACCTCGCTTCGCTCCAGCGGTTTCTTTCGAACCATAACGACATGCCCTTCCGAATGTTTAAATAAAGTTTAGAGTCACTAGCTATTCTACTTTACCCCCTTCGTAGTTTCGCGAATCGTAAAACGTTATTTAAAGACCCGTGGAGAACGTTTCGACGGAGATTCGACGCGACGCATTGAAATATCATCTTAATAGCCGCGAGACGGGGAAGTTTATCGTCATTGAATATTTTACGGCTTGAATTCATTACCTTTCGCGCGCTACTCGTTGAGGCTCTGTGCCGGGTGGAACGTCGGCGGGTCTGTTGCCAGGTCGCCTCAACATGTAGTCGAAGGTGGCGTTGAAGGGCAGGCCTGTGCTCATCCACAGGAACATGTCTGTGCCCAATTTGTTGCCCGATGTCCAGAAATCGTACTTTACGTAACCGGCGTTCTTCAAGTACTGCGTCATCGTGTCGGCTTTTTCTTTCGTCTCGAACGAAGCCAGCTGGAGACCCAGGGAACGACAATATTGGTAGGCCAGGAAGTAATTCAGTTCAGGGCTGTAAGGGTTCATCCTTGACACGAAGTACTGCACGCCGTCCAGCTGGATAGTTGTGATTCTTTGAGCTGAAAATCGATGTTTCACGAGTCAAACTTGCACCAGTGCTGTAAGAGTCTGAACGAAAAATAAGGCACGGTGATTCGAACGCACGATCCTCGGATCCACAGTCGACCGCTTTTACCTACAAGACCAATCCCGTACCCTACGTTTCGTGTTCTCGTTTGACTACTTGTTGTTGGGTATGGGAGGCGCGGATACTACAGTACTTTACGAGTAAGTCAAGCGTATATAATGTTCTGTGTCGCATGGAACAACTCGCGTATTTTCTTTCACAGTTCTTTGTATCGTAAATAACGAACGGATGTCGTTAGGCAATTCGTGTTACGAACATGGAACATCGCTCTCTGTTCTGAAAGGGTTGATTTACGCGCATATGCCGGGGCAAGTGTTTTTTAATAGGTTCAACGAGCACTACAAGCCTGCGAGTATTTATATCACCTTTCTTTCTACTTCGCGTATGGGTTACGCTATTGTTGCGTTATATCGCTTAATGAATTCGAATTCGACTAATTAAAAAATTACAGCGTGTCTAATTGACGCCAGTTTGCGACGATGCGATGCGTTCAACGCACAAGCGCGCGAAGATATACGCAGTATACATATAGACGAGTTCCTAATTTCTAAGTATTTCGATACAACATCGAGATAAATGGTCCCTCGAACGAATAAATAACGAACGAATTCATTTAAGGAGCTTGGAAAAATGGGAAAAAATTAAACTTTTTTCTTTTAATTTCTTTTCTTTTTTCTTTTAATTAAAATTTAAGCGATTCTGAACAGTTCCGTGCACACAATTGAATTTAGAGTACTGGAAGTGGTAACAAAAATTGTTTGAAAACCTTGTTCCCAATGTTTTGATTCCCAAAAATCCCATCACCTTTTCTTCGATAATTGAACTTCGTTATCACTTCCAGTGCTCGAAATTCGATTCTGTTTACAAAGAACTGTTCAGAATCGCTTAAATATTAGTAACAAGAATTCTTTTAAAAGTGATTTTTTTTTTTTTTCATTTTTTGATGTTTCAAGCCCCTTTAAATACGTTTCCAAATAAATATTTATTCTTTTTTTATTTCGTCGTCGCATGTGCCAACGTATCGCGGGTACGCTCGAGCGGGTGTCTTTCGATTCAACTGGTAGAATGCGATCGATCGAGTGTCGCGAGCTCCCAACAGAACCGGACGAATACAGAAGGAAATTCCTTTCTCGTTACCGTATTATCTCATCGAGGCACGTCTCCGTCGTTGACTTCCGACCAGGCCACGAATGGCAGTCCCAGACACAGGAAAATCGTCGCGTGAATTCTAATCTGCCTGGTATCCTATTTCAGTAGCGCAACGGGGAACCGTTACGACTAGAAAGGCGCGCGAATAATCGCGTCTGTTAATTTTTCGAACGCGTACCGCAAAACGCGAGGCTGTTTAGAAACGTCATTGTCGACGTCGCGAATAGTCTCGCCACGCCAATTCCGTACTTGCATCGCGGCGCTATCCATCTTTTTCTTCCTCGTTGATCACGGAACGAATGGTAATCGTGGTAAAGAAGTACGATGTTTACAGAGGTACGTCGGACGCTCGATGGCGTCCGATGGTTCAACGCGCGCGCAGCTCGGAGTCATTCCCTGGCACGATTTTAATTTACCTTCGGTTGTGTACACTTCACCGACGCCATCGTTTCAGCCGGCTTCGCAATGACTCTATACGTTACGATAACCGACGTGTTCGCACGATTCGCGCACCGTGCGTGCGAGTTCGTCGAACTTCTACGGCTATTTGGTTAACTGTAGTTACGAATTATGACTCGTTTAGGCGTTCGTATAGCCTCGAGGAACGACGTGTCGCGTATTAATTTTACGTCTTCGCTCGGTACGTAAGGACGACCTCGTGGTTTTGAATAAAATTTACGAGCGATCGCGCGACGAGGAATAACACAACGCGCAGCAGAGGGTAAACGTGGGAACGAGTGCGAGCGTAATTAGCGAACCGTAACCGTAGGAATTAGCGAAAATCGCGCGAACGAAATAAAATCACGCGGAGACGTTCACGGGGTGCACGCGATGCAAAAATGTTCCGGATCGTGAAACCGGCGGCGCAGGTGGTGGTAAACGACCTGAAGGCCTTGAGACGTCTGACGCCAGTGTTCCCGCGAAACAAGACGCTTGCCAGAACGCTTCGAGTCGCGATTTAATTCACGAATTACACGTGTATTGCCATTGAGACTTTGGGCCGAATAAGAAATATGAAAACTTCAAAGTATCGTCTACGATATAAACAAAAATCGCTCGGTGTAGCACTAATGCGATAAGAACGAATCGAGAATGACGGACCGGTAACGATCTTCTCTTCGGGTTTCGAGTGTACCGGATGTTTGTGTCGATGTTTGGGAGAAAGAAACGTACGAGAGAAAATACAGCAAACTTCGATGCACGCGTGTGGCAATCCCAGACACGCGAAAGTCGTCGCGTGAATTCTATTCTGCTCGGTATCCTATATCGATGGCGACTCATCGACTCGATGAAGGATCGACGAGAGCGAACCTATGAACTCCATACGTTCCCGAAAGATAAAGAACGCGATCGTTTGACTACAGCGAGAAAGTAAAGCCGACGCGGGTCCACGGATATCCAACGATCCAACATCGAGATCGACCATCGATCCAGAGGAACGAACGACGCTCGTTGCGGTAGATAGTCGACGAGGTGCTACTAACCTGAGGCGAAGGCCGCGACGGCCAGCAGCAGCAGAGCGATTTTCATGTTGCCGTGTGTCGGTTAATCGATCAAAAGCAGCCGTTTCCGTTTCCGACTCTCGGAATACACCGGATGTTAGTGTTAGGGTCGCGTTCTCGAACTGGCCTCGCGCTGCGCCGTGGGCCCCCTTAAGAGTCTTCTGCCCGGATCCCGGAGGAGGGGGTCGTTGAAGATGATTCACTGGCCAACCTAGAGCAGGACGAGCGAGCCCGCGAAGGGACGCGGGTGCGAGCGGGACGGCGAGTACGTGCCGACGGGGGATACAAACCGATCCGAAATGTAATTTACCTCTTCTTTGGTCGTGCGAAAAAATCGGCGAGGTGACGGGGTCGTAAAAAAAGGACGGTTCCAGAAGGGAACGCCGAGGGCCCGGAGGGTTAGAGAGGACGGCGACAGTGCGTTCGTTGACACGGCTCCGTGCGCGCGAACTTTGCTCAGAGGAACTTTGCTCAGAGAAACTTTGCTCAGAGGAACTTTGCTCGGAGGAACTTGGCTCGGAGGATCGGTATCGAAGTTCGGCGAATCGCTGGACCGAGGTCGAGATTCCTGGATGACTGTACGAACTCGATACCGTTCAAATAGCGAACGAACGGTCGAAAAACGCTTTCTACGTCGATCGCGTACAACGTCGAGTCACCTCTTTCGTTTGATGTATTTCACGGGCGTGAAATTCGCGCGATGAAAAGGAATTCGACGCATGGGTACTCCCCTGGAACGTGATTGAAGTCGCTCTTTCGCGCTCGGTCGAATCGGGGAAGAGGTCTCGGACTGCGCGTCGCATTTCGAGAGCGAAGAACGAAACGTGAATGTAGTTTACTGGACGAAGATCGTTTGTTGCTGGAACTCCGTGCTCCGCGCTATTTGGAGTGCCGGTGCGAGCTATTAATAACGTGGCCGTGTCGTTTGGTTTGTTTTACGTCGAACGTCGCGGTCGATGGAATTCGCCGCGGCGTTCCTTCACGGTCCTCGTTCTCTTCAATGGAATTGTATCGACGGCCTGACGCAAAAAAGACCCCGGTTTCAAGGTAGACTTCGTTACCGAGCTTCGCATACCATCCCTCAAAATCTCTGTTCCCCATCCGAAACGATGTCATCGGTCGACGATTAACGACGTAATGTTCCAAGCTGTCGCCGAGGAACGCGTATCGCCGGCTTAAACGATACCGAGCATCTTTCGATAGGGCTACCGTGTGCGTCGTCGTTTCGCCGTAAAGGTTGTTTTCGTCTCATTCGAATATCTTCGGTGAGACGTTTCGCTCTAGAATTTTAACGTTGTAAATTTCATCGGGCTGCGTTGATTGCCCGAGGAGGCTTGCACGGCCGTGATCGAGGAGCATTACGGGAACGATTCGCGCGCTCGATATATCGCACGGTGATCGAAGTGACGGTGGAATCCCCCTGAAAGTCGGTACGCCGGGCGTGCAGGGGTTTGAACCGGTTCCCTTGTTAAGCCTTTGGCGCCGTCTATTCTTATTCCCTCGGTCTTTCCGCGCTTAGTTTTTTTTTCGCCATTGGCATTGAACGACCGCCATTAAAAGAGGCATCTTTGTCTTCTGAAAAACGTATAATTGTTTTGCAATCGTTCAAACGTATCCAGCTAACTTTTACCGGTTTTAATGCGCACCTGTATTCGACGAGGCGCTTCGTAACCGCGGCGCTTAATTATCCCAATGCCGAGCGAGACCGGTAATAGACCGTGCCAGTTACGATACCGCGAAGATAACTGAAATCTCGGCTCCTCGAGGAACGATTTTCATCTTAATGCATCGGTGGACGTTGGCACCTTAACGTAGCAACCGCGATCAACGCCGCACGAGATTCCATCTTGCAGCGTCTTCGTCGTGGGCCCGTTCTTGGGACCATATCGACGGTGCAGGCCGCAAAAAGGCTCGTATCTCAAGGTAGGCTTCATTTCTGACCACGTCTTCTCTCGTTCGAGTGATCACCTGCCCCTGGAATACATCTCGCGGTCTTGACTTTTCTCGTCTTCCAACGAACCTCGCGACTCGCCGCCGGCTTGCTTTGGTTACGATACGCAACCAGTATCGGAGTAGAGTAAAGTCTCCTTAACCCATTCGAAACCGATCGCACACAGTGTGTGCAATTGATGTCCGAGGCTATAGGACCGGTTGCACACCGTGTGTGCAATATTAATAATGACCGTTATTCCGAGTAAAGTAGTCGTCGAGATCAAACAAAATTTGGCATTGGTTTTGTTGCGTACAAAAAAAATATTTCGAATGAGTTAAATGCACTAGCTCGGGTCCGGGTTGGTGCATTTATCATAGAGTTCGTCTATTTTCTGATGTTAAAGAATAGGACAGAGCGAAGATACCGAAATAATAAAAACAGTTTTATCGTTGCATTAACGTTGTCTGGCCGAGATATCCGATCCCGGATCGTGTTACTCTACTCGGCGATCGAACTCGTGGATCCCTCAAGGGGTACACTCTCCAGTGGTGGAGATGGTTTCTGTGCATTTATCGCAGAGAAATTTGTCCATCGAAGATGACTTTTACTGTACTGCCTCGGGTAAGAAATCCTTTGCCGATCTTTCTTCTTCTTTTTTCGACTAACGTCCGATCGACTCGATATCCTGCGATCGTTGCTGGATCCACCGATCCAAAGGACGAGAAGAATCCTGACGAATCCGATATTCTCGTTCCTTGCTGTCGTCGCGATCGCAAAGGACGCGCGTCAATTTCTTCGCTCGTAACGGCTTACGCGTGTAGACGAGTACTAGCAACTATTTTTTCAATCGCGATAACTCAATGGGACAGGTTCGAACGCATACCAAGTGCTCGTGTCGCGTTACAGGAAACCGATACTCGGCGTATAATTATTTCGTATCTTTGTTATCGCGCGTAGTAATTAAACTTCCTTTCGTTTACTTTTCGTTCAGCGAATCGTCGTGCTCGTTATCGCGTTGTCAGCCATAGGTATTTCAAGTTCACGACTTTCCCCTCTTCCGCACTGGAATCGCGGGTAGAATTCCAGGTACGAATTCACCGTAACCGTGCGTTTCGTTAACAAACAAGGTTGCTTTTATCTCTCGCGAACCGTCGAAAAGCAAAAAGAAAAGGGAACAGGAGCGCGCTCGGATCTAGTATGTTCCCGAGTCCCGCGGCTCGTTGCGTGGGTCACGTTTCGCTGTTACATTGGCGCAGGTCAGTTTAGCAGGTCGAATTCTTAGCGACGCATTCTCATGGGAACGCAGCCAGAGCGTACACTCGTGCGCACTTGGGTCCGGCGATGCCTACGGGGTCTCTGTCCGTGGCCATATATCGGCGAGTGAAACGAAAGCAGAAGCTCGATCCTGGATAAACAAGCGATCCTCCACCACCTTCCTCTGTTCCCTCGTCCTCGTTCCACCTTTTTGCTCGGTCTTCTTCGCGCAAACGGGACGCTAGGAACAACTTCTCACAGCCGAGTCAAGGGACTTGGTCCTTTTTTGTCGAAACAAAAGCAAAGAAACGGCAGGCTCGGGGCTGCAGGCAACGCTGTCGCTGGATGAAGAGGAAGAAGAGAAGAAGAAGAAGAAGTAGAAGAAGATGAAGAAAGTCGAGGATAAGAAGGAGCGTTGGTAGAAGCAGGTAAAGGAAGAGTAGAGAGGATGCTACAGGAGGATTCTCGAGGTCTATTTCAGGCCCTGCCAGCAATCGCTATGTAAGGCCCCCTGTTCGTTCTATCTTTCTCCCTACTCCCTGGGGAAGAGGGCCCTCTGTTCTTCTGCGCGTTGCTTTCCGTCACTTTTTCTCCCAGGTTCTCTTTCTCGTTCGTTCCCTGGCCACGGAACAAACTCCTCGGTTTTAGCCCGCGAATAGCCTCGGCGTTCGAGACGATCGGAGGAGCCGTACTGCCCCGAAGGCTTCGGCGCCGTCGACTCCTTCCATTTTGATACTTCTAGGAGACAGTGATCCTCATCGTTCTGCCTTTCTCGATAGCCTCGATGTCGAAGCGTTGTTCTTCGATACGTTTCTCTCCGATCCTACGACTCGTGGATACCAAACAACTTGCCTATGCCAATTGTTTATAGAACGTCCCGAACTCTGTTAGTTCCTCGCGACCTGTTTATCCTGTTATCAACGCGTTCGCGCCGGCGCTGCTATTTGCGATTCTCACCATCGGGCGGCGCGACGGTACACGCCGTCCGATAATACGCGAGTGTGAGCCACCGGTGGTACACGCCGGCGTGAACGGTGTAAAAGAACACCGGCTGCAAAGCTCGATCCATCGTGCGAGAAAGGGTTGAGAACACAGCCGCATCAGCAAAGCCGAGTTCGTTCGAGACGCGGCGCATCGATTACGTACCCACGCCTCGTTATGCGCCACGCTGTGCCCCGTCCATATATTTAGACAGTGCCCATCTCTCGGGATTTAATGCGATTATACAGCCCCGCGAATCGCTGCAGGAAAGAGCGAAAACCGACGCGGGGAGACACGCGATCTCCGGCGTGCTCGCCAAAGAGGTGGTCCCGAGAAGAGGACGCATCGCGACCACCTCTCGTTCCCTTCGACGAAAGCATGGAACGCAACGACGCGGCCGCGGTACACATGCGATCGCCGATAGAATGCAGAAATGGATGATAATAACAGCCGTAGCCCCGCGTACGGTCATTAAATGCGCCTCGGGCTGTGCCCACCATTTTACTTGGGCCCCCTGTTCTTTGCCTCTGTTACGCGCCCCCGGGCCGTGCGACGGAGTGACCTAGAACCTGAAACCGTGAACCTCCGATGCGCTGCTTTGCGGTTACAGGGTCGAAACGAGACTCCTGCCGTCCTTAGAATATTATCGAGGGTTTCCCAAAGTAGCCTTCGACGTTTTAAGGTTTTACGGGAGGGCGCCGCGACAAAAACTAGCTACCAGTATTTATCGAGACGACATTTTGCAAGTTTGAACCTTTACGCAGTGTTTGTAAACCAAAAAATGTACGAAAAAATTGTTGTTTGCATTCTTGGATCCTTTTCATTCTTTTGGAATCGTTTTCTTTTCTATTGCAAAGAAGAATTGTTTAAGGATTTGTTTGTTTACACCATTGAATTCAGCATCGAGAACTAAATAAAAGTACGAAGTTTCAAAATTTTGGTAGCTAGTTTTGATCACCCTCCTTTGATATTAGGTGAACCCTCTACCAATGAAAACTCTCGTCCCGCGGATTTCTGTGGAGCGTTTCGACTACTAGGAACTATCAATTTAGCCCACGTTAGAGACAGCTCGTCGAATGTTCGCTTCGTTAGATCCTCGTCTCGTTTTTTCAATTTTATTTCAGGCCACGATTCCGCTTCGACCGTTCTTCTCTCTTTGCCTCGCGTTATATAGTTTCTCGGTATTGCACGGGGTTACCCAGAAGAATTCCACTCCGTGGAACTATGCCCACAGTACGGCCCAGACGGTCGGGCCTCTAAATTAAATCTCGTTCCGGATAGGCGCGAAATCTATTCCCGGCTCGCGCTGGGACCATTCGTTTGGCAACGGAAATCTCAAATGAAATCTCAGGATTTATTCGATTGGTTTCTTGGCCGTGGGTAAAGCGCGAGGAAGAGATATTTCGCTACGCGTGCTCGAAAGCGGTCACGGTCGAGGTAAATTGGTTTTCGATGACGGAGCACGAATGACGTCGGCATAAAATCGCCCGTACGTCCACGGATAATCGCGTTGCGATTTTCTGGTCGCTCGTCCTTGGAGTTTAGCGTTTCCGGATCAAGGAACACCGTTACTATTCGGTAATCTTTTATTAGTGGGACCGAGAGGTAATCAAAATTTTTGTTTGCCGACGAGAAACGTTTATTTATTATAGAAATTTTAAACAGAATTAAATAGAAATTGAATAGAACTTTTTGATGATACCATTAACAGATGTGAGACATTTTTTTTTTTTTTTAGTAGCGATGATTCAGTTTGAAAGAGTAACAAAAATCATCAAAGTATTATTATTTAATATTAGATCACACTCTGTTCCACTCGCGAAAATGAAATTCGCGGTGGATGGTATTACATATATAGTAAAAAGCCGGCGTTTACGTTCTCCAAGGAATCGATCGCAAGGGGGCTGCTCTCGGCTAGAAGAAACGGTCGTTCCAGGGCGCAGAGGAGTCGGCGAGTGAATTCCGCTCGCCCTCTTTCCCGGGTATTCGTAAAAAACGGCGGCTCTGTCGAGGCCTTGGTTTCGCGAAGGAATGCAAATCGGGACTGGTCACGAGTATTCTAATGCGCGGTTAGCCCTTCGGCCAGCCACGATCCAGAACGAATGTCACTCGGTCCTTCGCTATCGCTGACGCTATAAAGATACTCGCATGCTCCTGTCGCCGTGCTCCTGTTGCCGGTCGCGCGTGCAACCTTAAAACCGGCCCACTGATACGCGTGAGGGACACACGAGATAACCGCGGGAGCTACACGAAGGTGCATCGGGGTAATTTGCACGTTTAAAAGCCGATACATCGCGACAAATTTAGCACTCGCGGTAACTCGCATATCTCGCGCTATGTGGAGTTTCTCGGGTGACCGTTTCGTTATTTTCGAGAAAACTCTGCGATACGCGTCTTCTTCGCAGGATGGTTTCTCACTCTCTCGGATCGTGCCGTTACCGATGGACCGCTTTACTATTTAACACATCGCGGATCGAATATATTGCTAGTCGAATATTTCTAAATTAGTTACGATCCGGCAGTAATCAAACGTAATTGTCCCGTTAAATATTTATTTCCAAGGAAAACTATAAAAATGAACGATTTTTTAAATATCTTTCAGTAATTCGCTATATTCTTACTTCGATAGTAATTTTGTAAAACGTGCGACCAAGTGAAATGGGACACATCGAAGTTTGCACACGTGTATCGTTTACGAATTTTCGGAGTTTCCGCATCCACGGAAATAGGTTTTCCTGTCGGGTCCAGACCTCGCGAGAGAAAGATGGCGGCAGGGAAAAAAGGGTTCACATGATCGAATCCAAAGATAACCTCGGAGAAAACGCCGCGAGACGCGAACAGATGAAACGAAAGATAGAGCCGAACGGACCGAGCGGCTGGTAAAGTTCACGGAAGAAACGCGTGATACGTGGAAGACGACCGCGAAGAAATGAGGGTTTACAAGGTACCCGAGGATTTCGTTTTACGATTTGCAAGAACGGCCCGCGAATTTTTCTTCGCGTCCGCTCCCCTACAATCTATCCGACGTTCCTAACCCAGAGATATCGCGATCCGGAAAGCCGCGGCTGTATCGAGAAAATTCGAATAAACTCGGAATGGATCCGTTTCAAACGCGACTCTCGACCGATAAAGTCACGAGGATAAGTTTGCCAGATGAACGCTCGTTAATCGTAATCCAACGAGCGGCCAAATAATTCAGCGGATTTTTACCGGGCGCGCTTACGAAGCGCGGCGGTATCTTTGAAGATCTCACGGAGCAAGTCCGAGACGAGCAGACGGTTAAGTGTAATTTGTACAGGATCTCTCAAGAGGTGAGAGAAGTTCGCGGTCAAGGCTCCTCCGTTCAAGTCATTGACATCGCGCTGCTGGCACGAACAGACTGATGTTGCCCATTACATCGGGTGGCCAATAAAACGGCAAAGAGGCTCGCCGTACGAACGCTTCATTGTCATTTTCAAATACGAACTGCGACGTCCGCGTCTTCTTTTTGCCAGACGAAACCCGTTGTTCAAATAGTTGCGCTTCGCCGCAGCTGCAACCAGCAGTTTGTTTAATCGTACTTGACGAACAATACTTATTTTACGTTATTAGGTTTGAGTCACCAATGCCGATCGCTTAAATTTCACGTTTACACCTCGTATCGTTTCGTCCTGTCTCGTACAAAACTGTTAAATATTTCGGTAAATAAAACGCTCAGGTTTTGTCTCCACGGAGGCAATATATTTAAGAAACAGAAAATAGCTTGAATACATGTAGGATTTGGGATGATCGAGAGTGGCGAATAAATTAGACACGTGAGAAACTTGTAAATATGATATAATTAATAATATAACATGGAAAAGGTACGACTGTTCTACTTGCAAAAAGTCCCAAGTTCTCGCACACCGCGCTTGCTTCAAACAAGCGAAAAACGCGTCACGATACCTCCCGAAAAATGACGCTGATTTGTTTTTGCAAAACTCAAACAGAAACAGTCAAAGAGGGAATTCGGACAAAGATATTCAATTCAATTCTTTATTTGAAGTGACGAACCATTTTGACAATAGTTATAGTACTTCGGACAGAGATAGGGTACGAATCGCGTGGAATAATATTTAGAAGTAACGGGAAAAGATCTACCAAGATCGGCCAAGCCTTGGTCGACGTTGACAGAAACGCGGAAATTAGTTCCATGCGAGCAAAGTCGAACCATCTTTAGCAACGTAGCGTCGGTTTTGCGATCGTTAACGTAGGACGAGATGTACTTTTGCTAGGACGTAGTCGCGATAATTGTCGCTTTCCTACTATTCGCGTCAACTTTTTAAAGAACAACCGAGAACCTGTAACGAAGCACCGATCAATTCTCGAAATAGAGGTACGGATAGTCGATCGAATCTCGTACAAATGTCTTCCATCTCGTCGGAGGCTGCTCGAAGGAATTCCCTTTACATCTGCGAAGAATGTTTCGATGGTCTGTCGGCGAATGGAATGGCGCGAATCAGTCTTCGTCAAGAAAAAGGTGGCGCCGTACGTCAGCTCTGGAGACGATTTTGTTTTAACACGCGTCCGGGACGAGCAGTTCTTGCCGGTTTTTATCGCCGGTCGCGGTTATTCTCGGCCGGACGAAATCTATTATCCCCGATGACTCGTCTTTTTCGACGGTTTCTACGAGTGTCCGACGGGTAAACGTCCGCGACGATGGAGCGTTTCTGCGCGTACGTCGTTCGCAGGTGCATCGTCACCGCGCGACCATTATTCTTATTATTCCCCGCCATCTGCCTGGACGCAAGATACCGATCGTTACGTCGCTATCTTGAACGTGTCACGCGCGTCTGGACTACCTTAAAGACCGGAAGCGATTACGAGGCGTCAAATTGCTAATGTTTGTATTACGTGGCCGATGTCTCGATCGGGCGAACAATCGCCGGTTCCTGTCCGCGATTACGCGTGTAACGATTGTTAATCTCGCGGTGAGCGACTTCTCGCTTCCGTGTCCGATCACCGATAATCGTTATTTATTATATTTCTCGTCTCGTATTCAATCTTAACGCGCCCAATCCGAAGCTTTCGATAACGTTAGCCAACGCCTGTCCGTTGTAAATAGTCCGCGTTTCAGTTTATCGAAACAAGTATATTATTTGTTTCGCGATCGATGGAAACGTTCAACGTCGACGCACAACCCAATATCAAGATTAAATTTTTGTTCGAATTGGCAGCGAATCATCGGACCGATCGACGTCGCGAGCAATTACCGCGAGAAACTTTTGAACGATTCTGGGAAAATCGATAGCGGCACTTGATATTCCAAGTATCGGGCATCGCGTACATCTCAAAACAATGTCAAACGACAGGTAGAAACGTAGAGGCGGTTCTCGGCGTTGCCAGGGGTCCACGGTATCCCACTATTAGCTATGCGCGACGCGGAGGCGTCACTTCCTCCCGACCGACTTCCGGCCGCCGGAAACGTCCTTCTAACCGCGGCTGAATCCTTAAATGAAGACGATCTCTGACGAGGCCTTTCTCCTTCTCGGTGCAACTAGCGAGCCTCGACGAGCGGCATCGACGTGCAAACCGACAGGGAATTCTAAAACTGTGCTTCCGAGAAATTAATTTCGCCTGGTACGTGCCGTAAAAAGAGATCTCCGGTGTGCGTACTGTCACTCTTCGATTCGAATCGATAAGAATAACGTAGCTAACCGCGTTTAAATTTGCGATCAGGGAGCTTTGTCTCTTCGCTAAGAAACGAGTGTTGCGTTAAACACGTATATTCGTTCGATTACAGTAATCGTTACGGGCTGACGAACGAGGACTTGAACAGACGATGGAGCAACCCGAACCAGGTGCTTCATCCGGTCATCTACCACACGAAGGGCTTGATGGAGTACTGCACCAGGGTCCTGCAAAGACCTCCCCATGTTTTCGTCGACTATCACGGCCATTCACGGAGGAAGAACGTGTTTTTCTTCGGTTGTTCAAGGTCGGGTTCTTGGAGCGCCGCGGACAGGGCGAAACCGGACCAGCCGGTGCAGTATTTGGTAAGGGACGAAAGAGGATCGGCTAAGTATTATTTTTAGAACGTGCGCGTTACACGTACCGCCGGTGGTTACGTTGCTACGAACGGTTATCTAGCGCGATCTATCCGAGTCAATTTACGATCGAGCAGTTATCACGAGGGAACCATAGGTCTCGTACACTCTCGTTGCCAAAATGTTTACTTTAAATCGTAAGTTAAGGGGTTACGCCGTTAAGGATCTCTAAGTAAACCACTTGCTATCGATTGGATATTTCAGGAGAAACGGAACTCGGTTAAAATCGTGAACGCCTTTATTGCGTACCGGTTTGGTATCGATCGCCTCGCGTAACGAGTCGGAGCTCTTGGGCCGATCGCACACGGCGCAATCGATTTGAAATTAGTGTTGCAAACCGTTTGCGCTCTTTGTTTTACCTACTCCGCTATCTTTGTTTTACCTAGATCCACGGTCGCATGCAACTAGTTTCAATGTGATTTGAAACTGATCGGTTGCGTTCGTGTGCGATCGGCCTTATGGAATCGGCCTTTTGTTTTTCGCAACATTCTTTTCTGACGCGCGAAATTTAAACAAACCGTGTTACACATCGCTACTATTCGATACCATCAGATCGCGTAATTTCAAGTTTCGCTACGTGACGCGTTTGCGTTTCAGATGCTGCCGCACCTGATGCAAAGAATATCCCCGGCGTTCGCGTTGCCACTGTGCTCGTTCAAGGTCGAGAGGAACAAGGAGTCCACCGCAAGGGTGGCCATATGGCGGCAGCTAGGTGTTCACAGGTACGTCGTGGTCTCGGGGAACGATCTCGCGATCGACGCGTACGCTTCTCTTCGCGCAACAGCGATTTCAACGACCCGCCGCTCCAACGTTCGATCCCTTCGTTTTGCGCAGAAGCTACACGATGGAGAGCAGTTTTTGCGGATGCGATCAGGGAGCGTTGGCCGGTTTACACCTGGACACGCAACATTTGAAGACGATCGGCCAGGATTTCTGCCAGGCTTTGTCGATGATGAACCAGTGCGGCGACGACTGGAGCATCGATAAGTACGTTCACAGCGCGTAGCTGCCGCGATAGTTGCACCACTCGCGATTAGTCTCTCGCATATCATCGGGATTATTGCCAAGTGGCGTCTTCGCTCGCGTGATCCGATTCAGGCGATCGATCAGAAATAGAAACAAAACGAGTCGACACCCTCGAATCTACTTATCCGAACGAGATATCGCGTTGCACGGGGATGCGAGCTTTAGGACAACGGGTTTACGGCGACATAGGCAACATTTTTTTATCTAAATAAAAATTTCAAATATCGAATGAAAGATGAAATTTTTATTCGATGACTTTCGGATAGAAAGAATGTATTCAACGGATGAAGATAAATTCAATTTTCTTTACCCGTCGAGATGACATATAAAAGTATTTATTCGAAGTAAATGTATTCGAGGGATAAAGATAACTTCAATTTTCTTTACCCGTCGAGATGACATATAAAAGTATTTATTCGAAGTGAACGTATTCAACGGATGAAGATAACTTCAATTTTCTTTACCCGTCGAGATGACAGATAAAAGTATTTATTCGAAGTGAACGTATTCAACGGATGAAGATAACTTAAATTTTCTTTACCCGTCGAGATGACAGATAAAAGTATTTATTCGAAGTGAACGTATTCAACGGATGAAGATAACTTCAATTTTCTTTACCCGTCGAGATAACATATAAAAGTATTTATTCAAAGTAAATGTATTAGAGGGATAAAGATAACTTAAATTTTCTTTACCCGTCGAGATGACAGATAAAAGTATTTATTCGAAGTGAACGTATTCGAGGGATAAAGATAACTTACGGTTTTAAGAATTTTACGGAGTAACGTCGCAAAGTACCCAAAGTCGTTCCTCGACGTCGAGCATTTCATCGATCAACGTGTTGTTGGATACAGGTCCCAGCTAGTGGAGGGCTGCTGTCCGAAGGAATGCGTTTTTCAGAAATCCAGAAGGATTTCGAAATGCATTCAGGACAAACCCGCGAACCACCATATCATTGGGATTTCTTAACAAACGATTAAGTAGACGATCTAAGGCAAGGCTGTTTGAAAACTTGCTATTAATTTCTTTGCTTTCGTAATGGTAAGCATGGCATTAAAATTGACGAACAGCGATAGACTTCGGAAAACTTCTAAAAGCGAATCCACGGAACTTTTGGATTTGAAATTGAACTAAAAATTTGTTTCTGACATCACATTTTTAATATTCAGTTCACGCGTTCGCACTCTCGAGACCTAACAAATACTGTATGCGCGATCGATTTGAAATTAACGGTGTGAATTGTCAGCTAGGTAAAATTCAAAGAAAGGTTTTAAATTGTGATATTGAAAGCAAACAATTTTTTATTCAAGCTTCATCGAACTTCACAAACATAACGAAAAGCACAATATATTGTGGAAATACAACATTCGTGAAAACAATTTGGAATGCTATATGACAGTTAAAATAATGAAACATCAGAAGATAAAGTTGAACGATCTGAAAGTTCTGTGGACTTGACCCTAATTCCGCATACTGTCCTAAACGATAACAAAGAACGTCTACTAACAAAAAGTTTAAAGTCTTGTCCGGTTATCGATTTGGCAATGATAAATAAAACACTAACAGCACGTCACTCGAGGATCGTGTTGAAACATTAATCTTGCTTTCGATCGATTATTGCGGAGACTAATACTTACCTGCAATCCCGACACGTTTGCGACGTTAACGATCTTGTCCTCGCGTTGTAGGATTCCTACGGGAGAACGTATTCCAGAAGAATCGGGGTGCATGGAGGATGGCATTTCGTCCAGCTGCGAATCCGACGAGTCCGATTTCGAAACTTAGGAAAACTGCATCTCGGCGAACGGCGCAGAGACGTGAATTTCCACGCCAAACTTCGTTCTACCGAGATTACTCGACGCTACCTACCTTGTAACACCGATCGGAAGACCGTGCAGGTTTTCATCCGGAACAATAAAAGTACAACGAATGTTCTGTACACTTTGAAGAATTTTTATTTAAAACTTATAACAAATGTCAAGCTATACCTACGAAGCTATACCTACATCCTAATTAGAACCGAAACCCTACATCTACGCATTTCGAAAATGAACTCGCGTCACTCGTCGTTACTGTAAACTCGAACTTGTATTAAATATGAGCATCGCAGACGCGCGAGGAATTTCTGCGTCGAACGACGTACGTAGTACCTAGAGAGCTAGCAAATCGATGGTGCGACGAGTAACTCTGTAATTAAATCGGTTTCTCGCTGAGTTCTCGATATACAGGGTGTCCGAGAATTAACGTGAGAACCGAAAATGGGTGGTAAAATGCCTCGTTTTTGAATTATTAACGAAAATCACCGACCAATCACAGCGTAATTCAAAAACGAGACAATCAGCTACCCTAAATTTCCGGTTTTTACATTACGCCGACGAAGATTGCCAAATTCGAGTCGCTACGCAGCACATTTTTAATAGAAGCTTTTACGAGCGATGGACGCAGTGGCTTGCGATACGGTTTTGAAATCGGTCAAATTTAAATCTTGATAGCAGGGAAACTTTCTAAAAGCTGCGATGTTTATATCCCGGTCGACGGTGTACAAAGCTCGAACGGTGGAAAAAGGCATGCGAAGAAGATTAAGAATTTTGAACGTTTCGAACGAAACGTTCGAGCATCGCTCCGAAACTAATACTGTTTGGTAATCGAGTTATACTTATGAATTACGCGAAGATCGGGATGGCTGAACGATAGTTCCTTAAACGATACGAGAACGAATGTGACCATCGCAAGATCTCTCTTTTACGGATACTTTTATTGACGTGAAATAAACAAAAGATAACACAGTCGGAATAATGAGATAGGAATTGCTCTTTAATGTGAAACGTACATCAGTAGATGGTAAACGTAGCTTTAAAAAACAGACTACAAGTTCTCGATCGGAATTTGATCAAAATTGTGCCCTGTACGATATTAATTGACCGGAAACGAGAGACTGGGAAAAAATATCCGTCCGCGTTGATATTTAGCAACGATTACGAGAAATAATCATACTCGACGTTTCCTGCGTAATTTAAGAGACAATGCAAACGGTAGCAGCGAAGGATCTTTGTTGGCATGCGACCACGGTACCTCGGAGAAATTTAACCGGAGTCTGGAGTAACGTAAATTATTATAACAACGATACACGTGTACCTCTTGTCGACGGAACTACGCGAAAACGTCGAAATAAATTCTTGGAATCTTATTGTCTGTCTGGCGTTTCGCAATGCGCGCAATTTTTTATACAACTATCCGTTCGGACACTTTTCCTCTTTCTATTATTCTACCAGTGTTGATTTACATAGCCGAAATACTCGTTATGGATTATCGAAAAACTCCTAAGACTTGTTCGACCGTACGTGCACTCCTCGAAAAACGCGTCTTTTTCGTTTTCATTTGATCGGTAATAATCGAAAGCCGATCGATCGATCGTATCCAATGTTTAAATCGCGACATGAAGTATTCTCGATGGGCAATTTTTTTTCTCCGTTCTCCGATCCCAAACGACGAACGGTGATTTCGGTTTGTTATTTTTCCAACGTCGAGTGCACGCGCGTTCGCAACTACGGTAAACAAAGTAAAAATACAACGACGGATGGGAGAATTAGTCTGCCGTCGTTCGCCATAAAACTACTCCGTACAATTAACGAAAGATATTTGCGCTTCAATTCTCTTGTGCTAATGTCTGACGTTCGCTACCAAGCTTTTCTATGGAAACGTGAACACACTCTACGTACGCATAGGCGAAAATTTTGACGAACAATCGTTACACACCATATAACGTCTAATATAAAAAAGCGTGATCTCATTCGTAGTCTGCGTGTAAGACATCGTTAAACGTCGTCGATAGAAACTAAATATAATGGTCGATCACAGTCCACCCTCTTATAACACGGTACTAACCTTGTTATAAGAGCGTGTTTTAGTTGATGTGTTTAGTTGTTATCGAGCGTAGTACAAATATCGCGAAGATTACCCAAACTGCAACGGGGAAGGTTCTATTCGAAACAAGGAAATCTAAAGGTTACACGGGCATTCTCCCATCCCTAAGTTACATGTTTGAAATATAGACCACGAGGAAGGTGAGGTTGTTTAAGACGCATCGTGTATGCATGCGCGGATCGACAGGTGTGCGTCGGTCGATCGTTCGGAACGCGTTCGCTGCGATGGGATTCACTTGTTGGCATTCGTCTTCCATATGTACTTATTGAACTGCTCGTAGGTGATCCAGAGAACGATGTTCCAGGACACTAGTCGCGTTGAGCTCGCTACGAAGCCTTTGTAAAAAGAAGACGGTCCTTCCTTCATCAGCATACGGGCAGCGCAATCCCTGACGCCCTTGTACTCGCCGGGAGCGCTGTTCATGTAACGCGTCTTCACCACGTCCACGGGATTCGCCATCAACGTGGTGCACAGTCCTGCTACTACAGCGGACGTCACGTAACAAGGAATTCCGTCGCGGAGGTAACCGGACTTCAGGATGCAATCTTTGATGACATCGTAGCAGACGACCTCCGCCACGTTCACGATTGCGTTTCTCGAGATGTTAGGAACGATTCCTAAACGAAAGAAGAATTGAGGAAACACTGGATAAGTGCGAGGCAGAATTGACTGGATAAATGCAAGATGACTATCCCCACCGGAGACGTTCCATAGATTCGAATGAAAGTTGCTACACTAGTGCGGCGCTGCCGCAACCGTCGAACGCCACCGCAGTAAACCGCGGCACGCTCAACGCACCGCACCGCGCCGGAGATGTGTCAGAAGTTCTGACACGGAACGGATGCGACAGTAGTCCTCCGGTTAAATCGCGTCCGTCTTCGACGTCTCGCCGAAAACGCATGCTGTGACTCCGGTCTAATACCTCGGAGCTCTTTCTCTTCTTTCTCACTCTGTCATTTTCTACATTCGACGATCGACTCGAGCCAAATGTAAACACAGAATGGAAAACTCAACTGGAGAACCGCAATGCTTGGATCCCGATTTTCTTGCACTTATCCAATCTTTACTGTAATCGCTGTATCTAGAGGACATTCCTCTGAATTTGTAACGGACGCAGGATCGAGAACATGGACGAGCGAAATAAGGGTGGTTGTCGCGATAGGGACAGCGTCGAAGCCCGCAGAAGCTAGCGATTCGCGGGTGATCTTTACACGCCGTTGCTCGAAGGAACGACGTGTTTCTGCATGCAAATAGCGAAGTTGCCGTGTAACCGCATACCTTTCCAAAGGCCCCGTGCCCCTTCTACGGCAGCGATATTCTTGTACGCCTGCAGGGTCGAGCTGTATCTCACCGATGATCGGCCATTATTTCCAGCCTGTAAGCGGACCTTGACGACATCGGTCGGTTGAGCAAGGAGCACCGCTACGGCGCCCGTCGTGATTCCAGCGGCGACGCATACGGAAAAATTCATCGACCCGCTCCTCTTATCACCTGGCAATGCAAAAGTCAACGGTGAAAATCGTCGTCGAAGCGAACCGATCTGTTCGCGAGAGTGCGTTTGTCTTGTTTTCTTTTAAATCGTAAACAGGGATGCAGGGCGGGAGAACAGATCGCGCTCAGCGCGGTTAATCACGTTTATTAAGCTCACCGATTACAAACAATGCTATTTATACCTCTAATGATAACTTCAAAACGCGTACAGGACGAAACTTTTAAACGAACCGCGTGTCGAAATTGATCGAGTAGCCGTGATCAACGAACGATACTCGGAGAAAAGCGTAATCACTAATCACAGTGCAGTATTGTCTCGAAATAAGCAACTGCTTTCTGCCTCGAAATAAGCACAGAACATGTGTAATGTTTTCTCTTTCTCTGGCGTGTACATTCTCCGAAACGACACTGTTAGTTGTACGTAGTTTGCCGCTACACCGAACCCGCTGTTTCTTTTTCCACGGGTCCCTCTCGTCTCGCACGAGAACAAAGTCAATCTGAATAGCATACCTCCCTCGAGATAAGCAACTCGCCGGTCCCGACCGAGTTGCTTATTTCGAGACAATACTGTAATCGCGGACGATTATTCGCGGCTTACTCGCTGAACAAAGTACTTTCCGACCATTGAAACTAAACGCGAAACTCTTCGTCGATCGATGGTGGTATCGATCCGCACGATTTTAGCGACGGGCCACTCGATGCGAGTATGCAAGCGTAATCGCGATACGATCTTTCGGCTTCTAAACATTTGTACGTGTATGTCGGTATATTCGCGGTTATCGTTAACACTCGTCGGTTCTACTAGAGATTCGTTGTTAAGAAGTAACAGCGACGAGTAAAATTGTGTCAACAAAAAACGAAAAACTCGTCGATTTCGAGAAAGAACTCCAAGATACACTCGGAAAGGGAGATTTGCCGAAAGTAAACAAAAAAAAAAAATGGAAAAAAAAAGGAAGGAAGATATCTCTCGTGAATACAGTAAAAAGTCTCCTTAAACGCGCAAGCTCGAGACTGAACTTGCCCGTTTATCCCAGAGTTCGTGCATTTTCTGCAAACGAGCTTCAACAAAAGAAACGAATAATAATTAAACAAAGTTTCATCGTTGCGTTAACATTGTCCCGGTTCGTGTTACACTACTCGGCGATCGAACACCTGGACCCCTCAAGGAGTATACACCGCCCTCCCAATGGCGGGGATGGTTTCTGTGCACTTATCGTATAGAAATTTGCGCGTTTAAGGAGACTTTACTGTATACGAAACTATAGATCTCCGAGCGTACGCCGGACAGTTGTGCACGCAAAGTTAATACGATCTCACGATTTGTCCAATTCGCAGGAGGAGAGCATGCAAACAGTTGGTTCCTAGGACAACGATCTTCCTCCTCCCGGTCATTTTTTCGCTTCCTTGCGACGTACTCGACTCTCGGGAAGACGACCAGGAAAAAACGAGGCTGGTGTACGATTAAGAAAGCGAAAAGAAAAAAGAAACGGTAAACGAAACAGCGTCGCGCGTCGATGACGCTGCGT